ATTAAAATGAGATGATAGTTATTTTTCATAAAAAAAAAATATTTATATATAAGAAAAGAATTACTTTTCATGCAAATTCGCGGATTAATCTTAAGTAGGCTACATGAATAATATAAAATTTCTTAATCGATGAATCGATTACCCTGTAATAAATGTCGTGAGAAGCGTATCGTTCTGCGGGAATGGCGATAACGAAGGCTCGAAAAATCGGAAGAATACAAATTCTTTGCTTCCCTTCGAGGTCTCTTTATTGAGATTCGGCGACGGAACGCTGGCACAAAGGTGGGCGTTATCGTGAACTCAGATACGAATCTTGAAAACGATATTCCAAGTATCGATTGTTTGCGCAATGGGCACGTTTTACTATCGCTAGTAAAACACGAGCTAGTCACGTCGGCATTGGCGCCAATTGATCTGCTCTCTTGCGGTCATAGAAACGCTTCGTGTCGCCGATAGATCTTTTACGGCGACCGCGCCGAGACCGACTTATCTCACCTATTTTGTCGATATATTTCGAATATAAACCGGGATGAAATTTCTCGACCCGTAAGAAGTGGAGAAACGAGAGTGAATCCGCGTTTAAGAATAATACATGTCTGAATTCAAGAGTTTAGTGCGACAATCACTTTTAATTGTACGAAGTCGAGAAAACATGAATTAAAGATAATCATCAAGATTTAATATCGAATTAATATCACGTCGAGTGGGTGTTTCCTGAGAAATACTTATGCAAGAAAAATTATCTTCATACTGATCTTGTTATATATGATCGCGAGAAAAGGGTAGATAAAGTTTTTTGATCAAATAGTATTAACATATTTTTTCGCGTAATAAAAAACGATCATCAGTTAATGGAAATTTACAGCTATTTGCATAAGGATATGAATTAATATGTTCAATCTTTTTTATATTAAAATAATATTATATTAAATATCAAGATATAATTAGCTTTTGTAGACTAAGCATTAAAAATGATCTGTTTTCGAACTTGTTTTCGTATGTCAATCGCATATCTTGCACATTTTTATATTACGTTGCGAAATAAACATCTTTGTGGATAATATTTAACGTCAAATGCACGTTCACAAGTCAAGTTCTCATCGTTAAAATGAAACAACCGACCGCTCGTAGCTGATAAATGTCTATCTTATCCTTTTATGGCATCTCGGCAATAACTTAGTTTATGGTTGTTGCCGATATCGAGCAAATGACAAGTGCAAATAATAATCCCACGTATGACGCTGAGTAATAATTCCAATTACGAGTGTTAATTAGGTAATACGAGACTCTGTTTCTGGCGGCTCGTAAAACCAAAAGATACGATAAGATTTATGGGGACCAATACGAAGATCAAATATAGCATTGATTGTGCAATTTTGGCTTTATAAATATTATTAATATTTATTATATATTAATAGCAAAAGCTTCCTACTTGGAATATAAATAAATCATTAAATTTTCGAAAATTTTAATTCGATTATAAAACTCTTTCACGGATATGCTAATAAACTATCTATATGTGCTTTCTTAAATTATCTCTTATTCTCTCTTTATATATAATTAATATATTAAATATTTCTTTTTTACATTTATCATATTTATTCTCGCGAAACTCTCGCTACCTATATATCTTAAAGGATAACTTGTGCCAATTTGCCAATATATGAACACCTCGTATACGCACATGTCGGATTGAAAGCGTAAAGGAAAGCGATAAAGAAAAAACAAGGGCGACGACATGCTCGTGCCGTTACACAAAGTTTAACCATCGATAGAATGGGCCGATTGTCGAATCGCAGTCAGGGTTGAACGTCGATCGAGAGAGACCAATAGTGAATAGTCGATGCAATCGTGCGCGACAGCCACGGCATTGAGGCCAGCCGCAAAGCCGTGCCGCGCGTGGCTCTTCTATATACAGAGATAATCCGTAATCCTTCAATTATTATCGAATTACAATAATTATGGCCGGACGTATAATGCAAATGCCTGATTCTCCCGGTCGTGTCGAGTAGCGATAGAAACGGCACGTCGCAAAGTTCCATTTTTATTCCAGTTATCTTTAATTATTTATTAAAGTTACAGTCCTACCTGATGACTTCCAATACTACTGACAGGAAAACACACTTGGCAGTGGATCGCAAAAGGATATAGGAAACATCAATTATTTTTCTCGCATTACAACTTGGTAATTAAAGTTACAGCGCGTCAGTCCTACCTGATGACTCCCAATACTACTGACAGGAGAACACACTTGGCAGTGGATCGCAAAAGGATATAGGAAACATCAATTATTTTTCTCGCATTACAACTTGGACGCTTATATTTCGTCCGGGACCATCCCCGATCATCTCGGACTTTAATTTACCGAAGCGGAGAGATAGTTTCTCTAGCTTTTTCTCCCCGATGTCGCGAACGACGTCGCACTCGCCGTACCTTGTGTCCATATAACTTGGCCGACCACTTCAAAAATCAGGAAATACCCCGGCGAACACATCCTACCCCTCGTCTACCCTTGTACATAATCCGCTCTCTCACTCTAGTTTTCTCCCTTCCCTCCTCCTCTTTCCTTCTCTCTCTCCCTCGTTTCTGTCCCACCAGATCGCTACTGAGTCGCGCCGATGTGGTGCTCCCACTCTAGCTCTGAACTCTGGGAAGTCACACGCACACACTGGCAAATAACGCCCATGGAGCCAGTGTGGTAGGCGTGGCCATCTTGTCATTTGTCTCTTCTACTTTCCCCGAGGCGTTAGGGGATCCCCGGGATGGCGCTCTCTGTTCCTAGCTTGACGTATGTACTGCCGCTACAACCCCCGTTTTCGTATCGCGCTCTCTTCGTTTTCCGCCGCGTTCTCCACCATCGAGTGCTTTGGAGCCGCACGTCCCTCACCCACGTTTACCCATCATACCGTGCCGCCGATGGCCATTCTCTCCGTCTCTTTCCACATTTTCCCTATACGTTTATCGCTCTCTTCGGAAAAAACGCACCCTCCCACCTTCAACCCCTTTGGTGCCATTCGTTGTGTGACAACTTCTTGACGCCAGTCACGACGTCTTCGGCCTCTCTTACGAGAATCAGCGGCCTACTTTGTTTCTGACCCTTTCGTATCCTGTTCCCCTCATTCTAATAAGAAATCATGTGTCATGTAAGTAGGTGCAGAAATAAGCAATATGTGTTATTTGGTGTGCAATACTCTCTAAAATATAACCAAATCCAACTTGCAATTCGAAACTATTTTAACTCGATCGATTCTAAAGCTAGAAATATGAATTATTGTTCGCGGCTGACCATATATTTACCTTCTCTCCTTGCTACATTCAAAATTCGATCCTATAAAGTTCCAGATTAAATGTTATATGAAGAAATTAAAAGAGAACTTGAAAAAAAATACAGGTAACAAGATAAATAACAAATTGGAGCTTCAAAATGATCTATCTCTGGAACTTTTAAACATAATGTACTCTTTAAATTGTTGCCTGTTGCATCCAAGATTATTTTCGACATTATCACCGACAATGTATTCCTCCTCATTTAGGACAAGGAATCATGTGTCGCTAACATCACGGAATAATGGTATATATAATGAATTTGAAATTCTCAAACTAATCGCGCGTGAATGTCGCATCTGTATCATTTGACAGTAGACTAGACAACTGGGAATTCGTTTCTCTTCTCGAGATCTCTCGCGCACGCGTGCACGTACGAGATAAACTCGAAGCATTATTGTGTTCGAGTCACACCTCTCTGGAATCAAATAATACGCCCAATATAGACGACTGCAGATGTCATTGCAGGCTGATATTTACTTCGACTGATAAGCCGAGCGATAACAGCTCAGTTCCGATTAAACATGACTTTAATGTCAGACAAATTCATGATCGCAAAATTATCGAATCGATAGCACGATTATATTCCAAATATAGCAACAATTTTATCAATTAACCAATTATAATTGGATGGATTTCCAAATATTTCCTAATACATAAATATTACTCTCTTCTCGCCTCCAGTTTATCTTTTTTTAACTTTCTTTCAACTGCCATTATTTTATTTGTGTGTGAAAATGTTTAAATAAATCAATAAATATATATATATATATGTGTGTGTGTGTAACAGCGTTCTCTCGTAAAGACAAGGAGTAATCATGAAAACTATTCCGACGAGGAGTCGCGATCTTTCGTGGTCAAGGCGGTCGGCTGCGAGAAACAACAAACAATAATCGTCGCAGTAGCGCTGATCCTAGAGAAGGGAAGAGAGAAGACACACCACGTGTGCGTGTGCGTTCGTCCGAAGGGGCGAGCACGCCGGCCACTGTCGCCACCGTAGGAGAGATGACGCGGGGTCAAAGGTGGGGTTGGAGTTCGAAGGTAGGGATGGACCGGAAGGGGTGCGCAACAGTGACACCGAACGTTGACCGCCGTGCGCGACCGCCTTGGCTGACTATCCCGCGAAAGATCGCGGCGGTGTATGAGAAAAAAATTGCGAAGTGATCGAGCTAAATAATGACACAGATAGAATCCTAGTTACGCCGCAGGGGGTGTAAATCGCGCCGTCGCTCTAGTCTAGATACGAGAGACGGAAATTTCGGCGATCGAGATGCGAAGGGAAAGAAGCGATTCTGGAAGAAGGGGTGCTGCGTGAGAGAAAGACGTCGCGGGAAAATCGGCTGGAGGGGTAAGAGATCGCGAGAGATAGCGGCTGAGAACTCGCGTTACGCGAACAAGGACAACGCGTGTATATGATCGCGGATGAACGACATCGAGAGAGAGAGAGAGAAAAGGAGCAAAGCGGCGCGGCGGCGCGAGCACAAGCGTGAGAGATCGCGCGAGGGGACGATAGAGCGAGCGAGATGCGTTAGGTAGGGGGGGAAGTTCGGATGCGGCAGCGAAGAGAGAAGAAGTGGATGGAGGGGAGTAAGAGCGAGCGAACCGGAGGGAGAGACGCAGTCAGACAGTCAGGCAGGCCGCCCGGCAAGCAAGGAAGGCAGGCAGGCAACCAGGCAGGCAGCCAGGCAGGCAAGCAAGCTAGCAGGCAGCCAGTGCACCAGCCAAGACCACTAGATCCGCTTGGCTTACCGACTTAGAGACTTAAGCCGGCAGGCAGTCCGAAAGGCTCAACCGGCTAAGCCTGGCAGACCCACCTACCAACCGACTTACGCCCGCGGTAGCCACTACGCCGCGTAGTTCCATCCACCGAGAGGAAAATCGGGATACACCGCTGCGGCACCGCCGCCGCCTTCTTATATTTTCCTCCATCACCGTCTCCCGCGCCGCGCTGCTCCTCTTTCGCGTTACGTTAAGGGTTACGGAGGTTGGTGACGTGGTTGGTTCCGCGCGGACATCGTCGTCGACGCACGACGACGGCAACGTCAACGTCGTTGCCCGCGGCCGCGGCGTCGGACGACGGTCGCGGGAAGAAGGTCCCGTCGCCGAGTGGAGTCTTAAGAGTGGAAGACGAGATAGCTGGGAATCGAAAGTGGATAATATAGATCGTGGTATCGCGGAGGTGTCGCATTCGCGTTCATGTCGCTCGCGTCATTTCGTCGACGTGACTCTTGAATCGGTCACGAGAGATTCTTCGTTGGTTCTTGGTGAAGCGAGCGATTAGTGCTGCTCAGCGATAGTGTTGGGGATACTCGAACCTGATCTACGAACGAGAATCGAGAATGTTGATGGTAGTGATAGTCTGGAACAAAGTGACGGAAAACTGAGGATCGAGAAGAGCAAGAGAGCAGAAGCGAAAGAATTCGCTGGAGAATGTCACATCCGCGAGGATGATAGCGCTGGTAGTTTAACCTACTTGAACGACGAAATTTACAACTCTTCGCTTTTTTTCTTACGTAACGTGGCGACGGTTATCTAATTTATCTGTCCTTCGTAACGCGCGCCTTATCCACGTGTCTCGCGCTGCTTTTCGGAGCTTTGACGTGAATCTGCGATACTCTACGTATTTACGGCAATTAATCTCGAGTGCGAAACATCGCGAATGCATCGTTATTAAAAAAAAATTATACGAAGAGGCGACTACATGGTGTAACCATCTCTTGAAAAATCGCGCAATCAACAAACACCTTGCACAAATCTACAGCAAAAAATCCTCAACTCTGTCACCGACTACATCCGGCGAAATTCCAGCCGACGGAACCTGGTATCTCTCATAACTCTATTTTCTCTTCGGCAAAAAAAAAAGGAAAAAAGAGACAAATCTAATGTTCTCAGTTAGTTATCATCTTTGAAGACCGATTGCTCCGATTTCTCACGAGACCGGAGTCTCGAATGTGTCCTTAAGAGGAGACGGCGTGCAAATCCGGGCGCTAATTCGCGGGGCCTCTCGCGGGCCAGGTTAATCGTGTCATCAAGTTGTAAGGAACAGTCAACACGACGTTAACCTTCTACAGTATGGACCGGGGCGGCGGGGCCGGGGGGAGCCTCGAACTCGCCGGGGGCGGCGGCGGTGGAGGCGGCGGCGGCGGCGGTGGAGGCGGTGGCGGCGGCGCGGATCTGTGTCTTCAGGATCTCGTGATCGGGCCGACGAGCGGCCTCTCGGTGCAGCATCATCAGCACGCGGTCGCGGCGACCGCCTCGATGGCCAGCCTGCACGGCGACCATCTTCAGGGCGCGATGCACCACCACGATCTCCACGGCAACTCGCACCACGACACGTCGATGCTGCACAATTCCAGCCACCAGCTGCACCACGAGCCGCTGGAGAAACTTAAACGTGGTGAGTCGTTCACAATACTAAAGACGACCGAGATCTTCGAGATTCACGAGCTTATTGCTCGCGCGATCAGTCGTTCATTTGGTACGGCCATTTATTTTTAGGGAGAATTCATCAGTGTATCATCAGATTTTATCACTGTTTGACAGACCGGATCAATTAAATTTCAATTTGTACAAAAATAAAGGTTTTATCAATGTCTTTCTCGTAAAATAATCGATGTATCTTGATACACGGGTGTATAAAGTGTTGAGAGATAATTTATATAGTTTGTCCAAACAATAAGTACGTCAGATTATGCGATTCTTCATATCTGATAGTGTAACACACACGTCTACATAAATACATCACTTTGGGATTTAATGTCTTAATTATGCTCGAATATGTCATGCATAAAAATGCATAATGTGCAACGAACCGAATTCCGTTCCTCGAGATAGTGATAAAAGGATTAAGCGCGATAATGTCACGGTAAAGTGGCTTCCTGAACGAGTTCGGTAATTACAAGCAACGTGTTCCTTTGTACGTATCGATTCCGACGAGATAGGAGATTTGCTTTTTCCACATTGTCGCTCGTTATCGCGATGTAATCGCTTGTAGCTGATTTGCCGTTTGATTTTGTTGTCGGCGATAACTATCGATCTTTTTCGCGCGATAAGCATCCGACATTTTTCCGCCGACGCTCTTTGCACCGCGCGCGCGCGCGCGCGCGAGAATTCGCGTCGAATCCGCATTATCTCGCCGAAAACCTCGCGTATCACGGACGTCTCGCTTGCGAAACAAGATTGATGCGTGTGACATTGCACAAATGTAGGAAATTTTCTTTATTCCGCCCCGTTTTTGACGACGAATGTCGCGACAAACAAACAAACAACACGCGACGCGTAAACAACCGGGTTGAAAAACCCGAAATAATTCGACGAAATATAAAAAAAAAAAAAAGATTCGATCGACACGATTCAATTACACGGTACCTCGCCGAGATAAACCTCGATAAGAAGGCAAAATTTAATATATTACGGCTCCGTCATTGCGCTCTTATCGAACGATTCGTAATCCAAATTGCGTCCATCGCAAATACTTCCAATCTTGCAAGAGGAAACATTGAAATCGAATATTTTTGTTATGATCGATTGTAATCAAATTATAATGAATCATATATTTCGCGCTCAATTTTCTTAAACAATGGATGATTTTTTGGTAAACATGTAATTACACATTTAAATGAATTATAGTTAATAAATGAATAGGACTTGTGTGATTAATCTGTTTTCACATTTTTTTCTAATTGCAATATCAGAGAAAAATCTCTGACAAAATGGCGTTGATTCTTGTCAAGTACTAGACGAAACAGCGATAAAAATTTAGGAATAGCTTTGATAAGCACCGAGCCCGTTGTGTTATTTCACGCAAGATACGAGATAAAACTTCAGATTTATTAAGTGTGAAGTGGCAGTGTGTCGCAGCTGAAAAATTAGGAACTCGAAATATTCGCATTTTTTGTGGATATCTATTTCTTGTGACAAAGATCAATAATTCAAAGACTATACGTTAAAAAGAATTGCTTGCTTAATCTCCTTAGGACTTATAAATATTAAACTCCCTCTCTCATAACTTATCGAATTTATTATACCATATTTTTTAACATTTCTTCCTTTTGTCACATATTACGTTAGTTTTCCTCGCATACTATTTTCCCCCTTAAAATTCTCAACAGAAACTTGATTTGAAATATAAATATACACTTAAAGATCGCGTAAAAATATTCAATATTATTCACGTTACAAAACCTCGATCGAAAATGCCGAAGAGAATATTTAGAGTATAGGTGGAGTCTGAAAGTCGAGTTTCATATAACACTCCTCGTTCATCGCGAAGCAATGTCGTTCGGCGACGTATGAATTCATGCGAGTATCTCGCACATACGGCGATCGACGAAGACGATTCTCTCTGGTGGCAACGCCACCACCTGTTTTGTGATTCATTAACTCACCGGCTTATCGGGATAAGGCAGACTTATCCAGGGCTCGAACCCGACACTGCGGCTAAACCCGATCTTATTCCAATGGCATCCTACCTATCCCCCTTTCGGTTTCATTCCCGGATCCGACCGCTCTCATCACTTTAGAATCGCAGGTACTCGCAAATACATCGAATTTTTTCCTTCCCGACGGTAAAGTGCGACCGACTCGATCCGCGCACGCAAATAACGTAGAAGATCCCGCGCGGATAAATTATATTGAATCCTATGATTTTATCGTCGCTCATGAGTCGGTTCGGAGAGCAAAACTCGATCGTGGCAAAATTCGCGTCAAGTTTTACGGCGACAAAGGCTATTCGGGAACCATTATTCACGCGCGTTACGCGTCCTCTCGATAATTTTTTATTTAACTATCCCATTATCATTATATTCGCGATTCGGCTCACTTTCGCGTTACGCGTTATTTGTCGTCGCGCTTGATCGGTCAACAAGTACGACAGTGATAAATCCGAAGCGGCCGCGGGCGAATTAAAATTTCTATCGGGAACGCTACCCCACATATTATTGTCATTAATATCGCGGCGGGATTACGCGAGCTCTATTAATACCGGCACGTCGATGGAAATTAATGCCAGCGTCGACCGCGATAAAAGCAACGCCGCCCTCTAATGAAAACGATGACGCGGAAATAGCGACGTCCGGTCGAACGATCACACCGAGATTACGGGCGAAATATTATATATACATTAAAGAAGAATCTCGCGGAAAATCTCAGTCTGCACTCTTTGTCTCACTCTGTCTCTCTTGGCCGACGGGTAGGCCCAATATTTTGTCAACAGAACGGCATACGGTCTACTCCGATCCACACACACGGCCCCTGTTAGTCATTAACTACCCCTTTATTATTATCGCACGGCCTTGCGATCGGACTAGCAGATGCGCCGAAGTCATCCCCTGGTTTACCCCTCTCTTCCGTGAACTAATGGTGTTGACAAATTGCTCGGCTAGCCTCTAGTCTCCCTAGGGAATGCGCCTGCAAAAGTCTCTCCACAAACTTATAGACGTTTAGACGGGAAATTGGACCGCGAAATTCAGATTTCCGCATTTGTGAAATAAACTTTGTCGTGCAACAATCTCGGATGAAACTTTGAATTTCTGAATGTAATAAAAACATTCGTGCAAAGAGCCAAGTATTGCATTTGTTGAAATTGTTTCATTGAAAGACATTTGCGACCCCGTATTTGGAAACTCGATAATGATAATAAGAACTGATCTATTGTGCAGATATTTTTTAACAAGTAAAATATATAATATAGGACTTATTTTTATTTGTAAGAAATATTTGCATACTTCTAAAGCATGATTATTTAAAATTACATATACATTTCTTTGCAAAACTAGTCTTAGTAAGTTTATTATTAGTAACAACATATTATTGACGTTGTGTTATTTTTGGTCTGCATAGTTAATTGAACAATTAACGGATATATTCTTTTGCATTTTACGGAATTGCTTCTTTCTTTGGATCATTCACGATCGACGGACACGATCGAGTCTTTCGATGAGCCGCGCTGATGTTACGGTTCGAATTTCTCGATCAGCCAGCCAATCGTGGCGATCCTTTAAGCGCCGGGGACCAAACTAGTGGGATCAACATAGAAATGAACTGATTTCCTTCCCATTATCTCAGCTGCTGCGGTAAGGCAGGTCTCTGTCTATCTCAACAACGAGGTTTTGTGTACTCAGTAGGCGGTTAGGAAGGCTCGTATCCGAGGGTTGGTCTCATCGAGAAAATTTCTGTGCGTGCCGATACGTGAGAACCAAACGATCGAGTCAACAACCGAAATGTATAACAAATGTCATGACCAAAACAAGTGCTGTCATTATATCTTATTGTCAGAATTATGATTCAGAAAACCTTTTTACATTGTTTTTTATTTTTTATTAAATAATTGTATCATCTTTCTATATTTATAATTTTCATTTCTACGTTTATTCGTTTATAATGATTTCCAGAATATTCTATAATTTAATTTTTTTTCATTTTTATAAAATTTAATTATACAATTTTGCTTTTAATTGCGATTATAATTACAATTTCAAAAAAAATTAGATTATACTTTTTTATAAATCTTTCGGAAAGATGATATGGTTAAATTTTCTCGAGAATCCTAATAGGAAGGAAAACATTCGTCAAGTTATAATTTCTCATTGTAATGGGATATTCAATACCTCGATCGTCTGTCCTCGACATCTTCTCAAATTCTGATGTTCGAATTTTCAAAGCGCCAGGCAGTCTGAACTTGCGCAACCTCTCAATCTGTAAAATTTTTGGAAATATCCTTGCCACGCCCCTGTAAAGTATACGAAGGAGCCACTAGTTCTCGGATTACTTATCGGTTCCATGTGCTTCCCCCGTGTCAAAATGAAATTAAACAATTTTCTTGACAAGCGACAATGAACCCTATCTAAAGAGCTGTAGATGCTCGATGACGTTTTCATATTAGACAAACAAACTAATCGATTGAGAAGAAGTGAAAAAATAGATTTCCACATAGGACAAACTCTAACAATAAGATAATCTATTTCGGACACTATACAATAATAAAATAAATCAAAATATATCACCAAGAGCATCAGAAGTGATAAAAATATATTTTATCTTATAAGCTAACGTGAGAAATAATTATTATATTAGAATGTGTAGTGTGTGGAAGAGAGAAAATTAAGATTTATTAAAATTTGTTTGATATTTTCCAACAATAGATTCTGTATAATGACATCGACATGACGCGCCACACGAGTGCACGTATTTATAGGCATAGAGCGATTTTAAGACTCCGGACACAAAATACTTTGCTCCGGTGACGCATAGCGCCCGGTTGCGGTTGACTAATAAACGACTTCCTAAGGAAGCTAAGGATTAGGAGATTAGGGACGGAGACCCAGCGGCAGACTAGGACTTTCTCTCGCCCGAGCACACAAGCTGCTGGGTCCGCAGGTGCTCTCACCATGCCGTCGT